GGTGTACATTAAATACCCAAGCAGAAGTTACACAAGCAGAAGCTGTGAGCAAGTTTGGGTGTACATAAAATACCCAAGCATAAGTTACACAGGCAAGCAAAAGCTGTGAGCGAGTTTGGGTGTACATTAAATACCCAAGTAGAAGTTACACAAGTAGAAGCTGTGGGCAAGTTTGGGTGTATATAAAATACCCAAGCATAAGTTACACAGACAAGCAAAAGCTGTGAGCAAGTTTGGGTGTACATTAAATACCCAAGTAGAAGTTACACAAGCAAGCAAAAAGCTGTGAGCAAGTTTGGGTGTACATTAAATACCCAAGCATAAGTTACACAAGCAAGCAAAAAGTTGTGAGCAAGTTTGGGTGTACATTAAATACCCAAGCAGAAGTTACACAAACAAGCAAAAAGCTACGAGCAAGTTTGGGTGTACACAAAATACCTAAGCAGAAGTTACACAGACAAGCAAAAAGCTACAAGCAAGTTTGGGTGTACACAAAATACCCAAGCAAAAGATACACAGGCAAACGAAAGCTATAAGTAAGTTTGGGTGTACATAAACACCCAAGCAAAAAACGACGAGCAAGCTTTGAGTGTACATAAATACCCAGAAAAAAGCTATGCAAGATGCGTTACAGAGGTTAATGCAAATTTTAGACCAAAACTCAAGTTAGAAATAGAGCTTTTTAAAGCAAAATCTTTGAAGCTAGCTCATTCAATTGTTGATAAGCAAAATTGGACGATTCAAGACAAAAGCAACAAAAGAGATAAGTTCTTTCTTCTTTTTTAATAAATCATAGCATTCTTAAACTGACAACACATGTTTATCATACCTTTGCTCTTCCCTCGTATCTAAATAAGATCAACCTTAGCATGCAAGCAGCGAGAATCCAAAGTACCAATGAGTTGCGAAAAACAGATGGATAATGAAAACCATCATCATAAACCTGAGCAAATTTAAAGAACGGAATAAAAGCAGTACAACCCAAATATTTTTTTCAAAAATAAATGTTCTTATATGTAGGTTCAACAAGAGGTCTAAAAAGCTGAGCATTTAGAGAATAAGGGGTACCTTAAGAACCTCCGCATTCACAAAACTACTCCAACTGTGAATAGCTATAACAGAATTCCCTACATCCTCAAAAGTTGCCCAATCCTTACTCTACTTCAACCAAAGATCTACCTAAAGGAACATGCGTTGAACCTTAATCATAAACTTTCTTCAACTTTGGATCAGCTTAAACCTACACAGCAACATCCATGCTCTCAAACTCAGAGATGCCATCAAGCACAATCAACTTAGCAAGGGACTACATCTCTCTCACATTCTTGGCAGCAAGCTTTCTCTGCTCCCTCTGGACAACTCCGGCTAAGAACCCTTGAGTTGGGCCTTGTGAGGATTTTGATCCAATATACTGTTTTTTAATGACCTTCAACTCCTTCTCACGATCTTAATCTGCCAATTTCTCCAACCACGCACACTCACGCTCCTTGGCTTCCTCCTCATGCTGGCAATTGTAGCATTCCGAGCAGCGTTCCCTTTCTCGCCTCCTTTCACGATCTCGGCAGTTGGAATTAGGGGAGCATTTGGAGAAGCCGGAGATAGAAGGATTGAGGTGATGAAGGTGGTGTTGTTCTTGGATGCAGCGCTCCTGAAGGCATTGGAGGACCAATTGCTTTTTCTTTAGTTAAGAAGACATGCTTGGGAGAAAAAATCGTAGGAACCTTCATTGGAAAATGAAGGGTCATGGGATTCCTCTTTACATGACGTAAAGCATCCTTCACCACAAACTAGCCAGGAAAATGGAAAATGTCAAAACACTTGGATTCGAAAGAAGAAAGGCTCACTTTTGAACCAACAAAGGCAAGAATGGAAAAAACTAGCAACAACAAAAAGAGAAATTGTCGTGGCCTCGACAGTAGTAGGAGAAATTTCTAAGATCACCTCTGACAATGGGATCCACCCCCATCTCGGCAATATCCCGAGCAACTGGAGCCATAACAGCAAATTTTGAAGGATTCCTCTCCATCAAAACAGAAAAATGGCAAAGAAGAAGAAAGAAAACTCAAGAACCAACGGAAGCAAAGATCAAAACAAAACCGAAAGCAGGGATCGGAACAGAGCCGGAAATAGGGATCGAAACAGAGTTGGAAGTAGAAGGATTAATGGCCATCACAAGACAACTGGCTTGATCAAATCATAAGATCAAAGGAGTCTTTCTCAAAAGGAAGAAAACGAAAAGGCAAAAAGAAAGAAAACAAAAAGAAATCAGAAAGAAGTGAAACAAAAAAGAAAAAGAAGAATCGAGAAACCCAAGAAAGCCCCATTTGAAAGCCAAAAGGATAAATTGTATAAAACCCCAAGGAAATCAGGGTTTGAACCAAAAGGACTTGTCATACCAAAAAACCATACAAAGGGGGCCACGTGCATAAAAAAAAGCTGCCAAAAAGAAGAAAATCCAGGAAATGCAGCTGTGAAGATATGAAAAAATCAAGAAAGGACCTAAACAAATTAGCACAAATCTGCATAATAATTAATTTCAACAAAATTTGTAATGAGGAAACTATGCCAGGAATCATGAAGGAAAAACCTGCGCTGCACTCTTTTTTCCTTAAGCTAGATTTTTTATCCCACGGGGTTTTTTCTAGTTAAGGTTTTTAATGAGGCAGTCATGGTTGAAAAAGTTGGAACATGTGCAGAATTCAAAACCAAGATCAGCAGAACAAGAAGAAAGAGAGATCCGTTGAAGTTTTCGTTGCCCTCAAACTTCTTCGTTGGGGGGCAAATGTTATACCCTAAATCAAGTCTTATAAGAATTAGGACACGTGGAGACATTCTAGAGATAGTTTTATCAAAGTTGAGTAGGATAAATCCCACTAGAATAAGAATACACCAAACACCAATTAAATAAAATTGTATTCCTAGAATAACTGTATTTAAGCATCCTATAAATACCTCTAGGATCAACCTAAGGAAGTAGATTATTTTTTCATCATCATTCTCTCTTCATTGTAAACTCTCTCTATCAACAAGGATCTTGGTTCCACACCATCTAGACTATTTTTTAGTGTTAACAAAATCAATCTAAGTACCTTATTACACAGTAACTTAATTAAATAATGTAATATTTTTATTTTTATATTTTTTGATAAATATATTTTTAGAATTTTTGGTAAAATAAAAATATAATATATTTTAAAATTTTTATTTTTGCATACAGATTATATTTTAAATTTCCCTTTCTTGTTTTACATTTTTTTATTTGTTTAATATAATATTTTTTTATAATTATAATATTATATTAATTGTATTGACTATTATTATTTTGTTTTTTTACTATAATTATACAATAAAAATTACTTAACTTAATTAAAAAATAGTGCAACCTTAAATTATCCCTTATACAAAACAAATATTATATTCTAAGAACTCTTTATTTTCTTGAGTGGTAACAACATAGGCTTGCATGCCTAGGTTGTCTTATTAGTTTTTATTCTCTTTTTTTTTTTTTGTCATTTTCTTAATTCTTA